CAACATTCCATATGGGCACCTGGTTTGAAGTCCCGGCAGCTCCACTTCAGGTCCAGCTCTCTGCTATGGCCTGGGAAAGCAGTAGAAGATGGCCCAAATCCTTGGGCCCCTGCACCCGCGTGGGAGACCCGGAAGAAGCCCCTGGCTCCTGGCTTTGGATCGGCGCAGCCCCTGCCATTGCGGCCAACTGGGGAGTGAACCAGCAGATGGAAGACCTCTCTCTCTCTGCCTCTCCTTCTCTCTCTGTGCAATTCTGACTTTTAAATAAATAAATAAATAAATAAATCCTTAAAAAAAACAGGAGGGCTATAAAAAGGGAGCATTCAGAGAAAAAGATAAAAATTTTTGTATTCTTGCTAGAAAATTGAAACAAATCTGATCAAATCTCTACACTTAAGGAAATTCAGGAGATGGAGGAATGGTTGACAGTTCCCCGGGGACTAGTCAACACGACTCAGGCTCTCCAGGGACTAGTCAACACGACTCAGGCTCTCCAGGGACTAGTCAACACGACTCAGGCTCTCCAGGGACTAGTCAACACGACTCAGGCTCTCAGGAGATGGAGGAATGGTTGACAGTTCCCCAGGGATTCGTCAACACGACTCAGGCTCTCAGAAGCTCTATGAGAATAAAGACATCCACCCCTCAGCAGCCTCGCAACAAATAAACTACAAGAATACAAGAGAGGGAGGGCAGAACTTGCAGATTTAGCAAAGGCACACACACACACACACACACACATATATCTATGAATTGGTGACCTTGAGTAGAAGGAGACAATACAGAATTTCAGGCTAATGTAGAATGGGTATAGGCATGAGAAAAATTAGAAGCCAGCTTAATTTATGACCACAGTACAAAAATAGTAATATCAGACAATGAAATGTACAATATTTTCATTAAAAATTCATCAGTGTGAAGTAACTTTTATCCCAGGAAATTTTAAGAATGCAAAATGTTAGAAAGCCTATTATTTATCTCATTTAGAAATTAAAGAAGAAAAAAACAAATACAATGGTATCAATAAATGATGAAGACACTGAAAAACTTGACATTCCTTATTAAAAAAAAAAAGAAAAAAATCTCTTGGCAAACTAATAGAAAGTAAAAATTTCCTTACCTAGAAATGGTGTCTATCTTCAACCTGCCGCTTTCATCATCTTTGAAGATGAATACGTGGTAGCATTTCCGCAGTGGCAAGAAACAGCCAAGGATGCCTGTTAACAGCTTTGGTACAACAGGAACTCCTGGCCAATGAACACATTGGAGAGAGGAAGAGGAGAGAGAGTGACTGGAAAGGAAGAAACCAGAAGTCAGATTATCATTTGTATGTGTTCTGATTGCTTATTTGAACAAATAAAATAATTCAGCAACTTTGCTGGAAAGAAGACCAATAGGTGTACATCCTACCACTGTCAACCAGCTGTCCTTTCTAAAACGACTGCAATGACAACCAGCATAGAAAGCTATAAGGTGCCTGTCACCACCTGGATAATTGTTCAGGTGCATTCTAAAGCACATGTGCTGAAAGCTTGGCCCCCACAGTCTTATGTCAATGGTTGACAGTTACTGCGAACCATAAATGGCTTAAGGCTGGAGACTTGATCCAATCATGGTGTCTAGTAGGTGGACACAGTGAGGTCTTTAGGACATTGAGAATGTGTGCTCGGGAGGCAGTCCTTACTACAGGGTTGGTCTCATAAGGCTGAAATAAGCGCTCTCTCTGACTCCTGGCTTGCTGTGGCCCACCGCCCACGACCCCGATCCGATGCTGGGTCCATGTGGCTGCCTCATTTGGACTGTGCACCTCTACAGCTGTGCGGGAAACGAAACCTTTGCCTTTGCGAGTTAGCTGCTCCCAGGTGTTTCACAGTGGTGGAGGGACCTAGTGTACAGCGCACAGACACCGAGCGAGAGAACAACTGAGTAAACACCCCGCCCAGGCAGCCGAGTGCCCAAGAGAACAGCCTCCCCAGTCACTGCGCTCCTGTGTGTGGCCCACAGGCAGATTCCAATTCTTAGCGAGACAGGACTCAATTTCCTCTACTGGGAGGAGCCAGATATATTTTTTTAAGTAATTTTTTTTGACAGGCAGAGTGGACAGTGAGAGAGAGAGACAGAGAGAAAGGTCTTCCTTTGCCGTTGGTTCACCTTCCAATGGCCGCCGCGGCCGGCGCACCGCGCTGATCCAATGGCAGGAGCTAGGTGCTTCTCCTGGTCTCCCATGGGGTGCAGGGCCCAAGCACTTGGGCCATCCTCCACTGCACTCCTGGGCCACAGCAGAGAGCTGGACAGGAAGAGGGGCAACCGGGACTGAATTCGGCGCCCCGACCGGGACTAGAACCTGGTGTGCCGGCGCCACTAGGCGGAGGATTAGCCTAGTGAGCCGCGGCGCCGGCCAGATATTTGGTTTTAATCTTCTGTTTATCAATTTTTGTGAATCTAAATATAATATATAGATATAAAACATACAGGTATGGTATATACTATTATATGGTAATGATATAATATGCTGCTGGGTATTGCAGTCCCCTGTCTCAGTCCACTCAGGCTGCTAGGATGACATTCCTTAGCCTGCGTAATGTAGAAGCAACAGAAATTTCTCTCTCACAGTCCTGGGGGCTGGGGCCTCCCGGCTCAAGGCGCTGGCACCTTCCGAGTTTGCCGAGGGTCCTCTTCTTGCTGCATCCGGCCGTGGCGGGAGAGCTCCTTAGGCGTTAGGATCTGAATATACGAATTCGGAGGGTGGAGGACACAAAATTTCATTCTGGAGCATGTATTACTGTATCATGCATGCTGTGTAGCACATGCATGTCATAGTGTTCCATATCGTATTATTTTCTTATGTAACCTTTCCGTTTCCTCCATGGTGTCCCCTTCTTGTCCATGTCTGTACTTCTCAATCTGTGAGTTGTTGTTCCGAAGCCTGCAGCTCCCAGAATCACCTTTATCGGAGAGTTCTTGTGTGTGTGTGTGTGTGTGTGTGTGTACACAACAGTGCGATGGTTACAGGCCACACACTCTGCAGGTAGAATCCCTGGGTTCTAATCCTGGCACCCCCACTTTTTTTTTGACAGGTGGAGTTAGATTGTGAGAGGGAGAGACAGAGAGAAAGGTCTTCCTTCTGTTGGTCCACCCCCAAAATGGCCCGCTATGGCCGGTGTGCTGTGCCGATCCGAAGTCAGGAGCCAGGTGCTTTCTCCTGGTCTCCCATGCGGGTACAGGGCCCAAGCACTTGGGCCATCCTCCACTGCACTCCCGGGCCACAGCAGAGAGCTGGACTAGAAGAGGAGCAACCAGGACAGAATCTGGTGCCCTGACCGGGACTAGAACCCGGGGAACCGGGGCCGGAGGAGGATTAACCTAGTGAGCCGCGGCGCCGGCCCACCCCCACTTTCTAACTGGGTGAATTTGGGAAATTATTTAGCCTTTCTGGGCCTCAGCGTCCTACTTTACAAAACGAGGCTGTTAGGGACCGGTGCTGTGGCATAGTAGGCTAAGCCTCCACCCTCGGCACCAGCATCCCATGTGGGTGCCGGTTCAAGCCCTGGCTGCTGCACTTCTGATCCAGCTCCCTGCTATTGTGCCTGGGAAAGCAAAGGAAGGTGACATAATTTCTTGGGCCCCTGAACCCATGAAGGAGACCCAGAAGAAGCTCCTGGCTTCAGACCAGACCAGCTCCAGCCATTGTGGCCATTAGGGGAGTGAACCGTGGATGAAGACATCTTTGTCTCTTCCTCTCTCTCTCTTTCTCTCTAATTCTGACTTTCAAATAAATAAATAAATCTGTTTTTTTTAAAGTTGCTGACCTTAACATTAAAAAATATTTAAAATGAGGCTGTTAACAGCATCTATTTGTCTCAGAGCCTGGCTATCCACCAGAATCACTCTCCGTCTTTCACAGAGACAGCACTGTGGCCAGGCACGTGGCTTTCCCGCTGGAGAACATTGCCAGCCTCCCTTGTGGATGGTGTGGCCCTCTGAGCAGGACTCAGAGGGCCAGTGTACGTGGTGTGTGTTGATCCTGGGCCTGGGGCTTATGGAACCAGGGGTGTCTCATCCATATTCGCCAATGCAGACAGTGGCAGTGCCCTGGGACAGGGGCCTCCGGGTCTAGGATATGCCCTGAATGTGCACAGGGCACAGAGCTGCCCCACCGGCCTGGGCCATTTTCTCAGAATTGCTGAGTGCGAGACTAAATGTCTGCATTCTCTAAGCCACCGTGTTCTTGGCATCCTAGGCTACAGACCTGCCTCCATGAACGTCTGCCCAGGGTCCCGACGTCCTGCAGACCCAGGCCCGTGAAGCCGGATGAAGCAGGCCTGACAGAACGGTGACAGGTGCAGAGTTTAATGAAGGGAGCAGGTGGGGCACACTGGGTGGGGGGCCCTGGGCGAGTGCTGGCCCCCAGTCTCCTCTGCCTGGGGTCTCCCTGGTCCTCTTCAGTAATGGACACAGTAGAGCTGGACGCTGCCGCTGATCCGGAGCTCCCGCAGCTGCTCCAGGGTCTGCTGGCCCAGGCTGGTGGCCCCCAGCCCCTGCCCATTGAGGGCCAGCTTCAGCCCTCCCTCCTGGCACAGGAGCAGCACCTGCAAGACGGGGGCGTGAGTGGCCGGTGGGCTTCCAGTCCTCCTTCTCCACCTGGCACTCTTCCTGGAAGACCCTCCTCCCCGCAGTGGACACAAGGGCGGGACTCAGAGGGGTCCAGCTCACAGCCAGCCCTTGGTGGACTTTGATCAGCCCTGGGGCTCAGCTTCCAGGATTCCTGGGGAGCCACTGAACAGAGCTGATGCTGGGGTCTCTGTATTCACTGCTTCTGAGTTCTTGGGTGCGGAACCCCTGGCGCCAGCATAGTGTTGAGGGCTGCCCTGTGGGTGTCTCTGGCTTCCCAGCCCCGTGGTGTTGGCCCTGCCCACCTCCCCCAGGCATGCCCCACCCCCAGGCTCTGCACCCATCCTGGCTCTGACCCACCTCGAAGAACCGCTGGGGGTAAAAGAGGAAGGGGGCTGAGATGGGCGTCTTCCGTCCCCAAGGGGAGATCCAGGCCAGGCTTCTGTCTGCAAAGGACGCCCTAAGCGTCACAGGCACGCGGGCAGCCTCGTCCCTCAGGCTTAGAGTGAAGCTGCTGGGGGCGGGCGGGAAAAGGGGGTCAGCTTCCAAGGCCCTCAGGGAGGTGGAGAGCAGCTGGAACACTGGGCAGGATCCTCCTCCAGAAAGCAGGGCTCAGGGCTGGACGCCCGGGTACGTGACAGCCCAGAGGGTGGGGAGACCTGAGTCTGCAGCTACCCACTAGAGGACCACAGGGGCGGGGCGGGGCGCCCACCTGGTCGTGAGGGCTCCTGGCTCATGCATCCAGCTCTGGGGCCTCTGGCTGCGATGCATGAGCCAGGAGTTGTGATTCAGATTTGCAGGGTAGGGAGGAGCGGCCTCTGCGGATTTATTTTCTCTGAATGCATTCCTTCTGGTTGCGAGTTTGTATTCTGTCTTCTCTCTGTTCTGCACCTCTTCTCCTAACATTTTGGTGACCCACGTGAGGTGGCACCAATCCGCACTCTTTTCCCAACACAGGCTGTTCTCGTCACGTGTGTCCTGTGAGCACAGTGTGGCCCCACACAGCACACTGTGGACACAGCGTCCGCAAGCAGCTCATCTCACCCAGCAAGGGCCAAAATGAGGAGCGGCAGGTGCTTCCTGTCATTTGTCTCTTTTCTCGGGGAGTAGAGCTTCTCCCAGACTCCCCTGGCTGACTCGCTCCCACCCTGCACTGGCCAGAACCAGGGACATTTCTACCCCAAACCAATCATGGGCAAGGGGAAGGGGCTACCCTGAGAGGCTCAAACCTCCCACAGGGCATCACCTGGATCTGTGAAAGAGGCTCCTACTGCCCATGGACCCCAGGGCTCTGTGGGCTCAGAAGGAGGTGACAGTGGGGTGTGTGTGTGTGTGTGTGTGTGTGTACGTGTAGGTAGCTATTGGTCAAGCAACCAAAACATAAGATACACACCTACTCCCCCCCCCCCCCCCAACAGGTTCATTATAAGGCTACAAAGAGAGTACAGCTGGCTCTCGATCACACTGCTCCTCTACAGGATGCAGAGGAACAAGTGGAGTCAGGCGTCTCATGGGGGTGTTGGATGGGGGCGGGGGGCAGTGTACTGGAAGAGACATCAGCAGGCCCATGCGTCTGGCCACTTCCCCAGCAGAAGGAGCCCACACCTGAGACTCCAGAAGGGCTCAGCTCCTCCACACCTCTGTCGCTCTCCAGGCCCTGGACAAGCGTGCTAACGCCCATTGGCCTTCATTCTCAGACCCGCTGTGAGACGAGACGCCCTGGCCCAAGTTGTGTTGTTCTTGAGGTTTCTGGCAAAGGTTTTCGGGCCGGCAGCTGCAGATGGAGATCTTCTGAAGCCTCTCCCTGAGTGTGCAGCCGGGATGAAGACCTCTGCTTCAGGCCCTGAGGATTCTGGGGTGTGCCCAGGCCCCTTCCCAGGAGCGACTGTCCCTCAGCTGTGCCTCATGCCACAGCCAGTTCAGCTCCTGGCGGGGGGTAGTAACCACCTGCTGAGCGCTGGGCACTGAAGGATGGGACGATTGTAAAAGAGGAGAGCACATGAGCATGTGGGGAGGACTCACATGAGGGAGCAAGACCCTGGTGCATACCGAGGGCAGGCGGGACAGTGCAGAGTGCGCAGGTGCACAGTGATGGGAGCCACGCTGGTGAACCTTAGGTGAATCACGTGCCCTCTCTGAGCCTCTGCAGCATGGGGGCACAAAGTGCTTGCTTTGGCCACCCTCAGAATTAAGAGAGGAACAAATGTTTACAAACAGCAGCTCACCTTTGAACAGAGATTCCCGGCTTTACACATTTTCCCTCCCATTTAATTTTCAAAAGAACCCTGTGATTTGGAGCAGACTGGGGTCACCCGCCCCTTATTTCTGCATGAGAAAACTGACTCTCAAATGGGTCAGGTGGCTTGAAGAAGGTGTCCCCACTGGTGGGCGGCAGTGTGAGAGCCACAACGGGCTGTGCAGACGTGGAGGGCGCCAGCACCGGGCTCCCCAGCCACTCCCATGCGGATGACTCTCTGGGATACTTCTCCAAACTGCAAGGTGCTCTCTGTGGGTGTGCTACCCCTGCTTTCCTCCTCATCTAATGTTGACAAACTGGACAAGCGACCTAAAACTCTGTGAGCCCAGATCTCCATGAGCAGCCGAAGGGAATGTCAAGTTCATTGTCAGGACTTAAGGAGCAACGAGCTTTTAAATGCCTGCTACTGCAGCATCAGGGTGCAAAATCACAATGATGTCTCCACGTTGTGGCTTCTCAGAACTCTGCAACAGAAAAACCTAGACAGGATAGAAGGGGCCACAGCCCAGGCCCTGGCTGGGAGCCCCTGTCAGTGTCCATTATCCGGTGAGAACCAGGGAGGATGGAGCTTATGTCCACCTTGAAATCCCCTGCCCTGCGGTCACTTTGTGAGGCTCCCATAGAGGGGACTGGAGCCTGGAGAAAAAGACCTTGTGGGGTGGACAGGAGGAGGCTGGTCTGGGCGACCGTGTGTTCTGTGCACACGTGGAGGATGCAGGTGTGCATGGACAGATGCACCGTGTACGTGTTCCTGAGGGTGGGGACACCAAGGCTGTGTGCATAAGCAGCTTGGCTGAGGTTGGCAGCTATACTGGGTGGGGGAGGGGGAGTCTTGACCCCTCTCCCCTTCCCATACCCCTGGGCTCCTTGTCACCCTCCTGCCCCGTGCCTGTCCATGGCCTCGCCGGGCACCTCCTCCTTGACCCTGCACCCACCCGGTATCTGGACAGCCATCCCTTGGAGAGGACGGGCTGGGAGACAGGAGCTGGCAGCATCCTGCTGGGACCTGAACTTGCAGTGGGTCTTGAGGAGCCAGCTGGCCCCCAGCACGGAGTGGGGCTGCTCCATCACAGAGCAGGGCTCTGCCGGGCACTTGTCCCAGGATAACCACAACCCTCCCAACAGCCCAGGGGAAGGCGCAATGGTCCCATTGCACAGGTGGGGAAATGGAGGATCTGAGAGGCAGAGGGACCGGCCTAGCATCGCTCAGCTGGGAAGACGCAGCTGGACTCCCTGGGGCTCTTTTGTGAAGAAACTAATTCCGCTGATGAAGGTGCAGCCAGTCACCCTCAGGCGCTGTCTCTGTAACACCATTGCATTGGGATCAGTTTGCAGCCAGTTTGAGGCTGCTGCAGACTTCTGGGGGCATGCAAACATGTATCCCACAGCTTGCTCCAAAGCATACTTGGGACAGATGTACCTGATGTTAGTAAAATGGTACCATCTTCCTAAGAAGCCCAGCCTGGCTTACTGGAAGTCAGGTGACCAGATGGCCCAATCACAAGTGTCAGCTCCACCCCACCCTCACAGGATCTCCCACATCCTCATCTCTGCTGGGCTGTAGAAGAGCTGCTCTCCCGCAGGCTGCTGCTCTCTGTGCACGGGGAGTTGGCCTGTTGGGTTTCCCCCACCCGACAACAAACCTCCCTTACTCCGGTGTTTGGTGTGTTTTGTGGTGGCCTTTCAAATGACACTTAGCAGAATCTCTGTATTTATTATCTTTTTTGTTAAATTAAGATTTATTTATTTGAGAGTTACACAGAGAGAGGAGAGGCACAGAGAGAGAGAGAGAGAGAGAGAGAGAGAGAGAGGGAGAGAGGTCTTCCATCCACTGGTTCACTCCCCAGTTGGCTGCAACAGCCATAGCTGCATGGATCCGAAGCCAGGAACCTAGTCCGGGTCTCCCACATGGGTGCAGGGACCCAAGGACTTGGGCATCTTCCACTGCTTTCCCAGGCCCTAGCAGAGAGCTGGAGTGGAAGTGGAGCTGCCGGGTCTCAAACCAGTGCCCATATGGGATGCCGGCACTGCAGATGGCGGCTTTACCTGCTATGCCACAGCACTGGCCCCGTATTATCTTTGAAACTTTTTTTTTTTGCTTTTATGCAGAAAAGTCAATTGAAAGGAATTGGAATTTCCCGGCATGATAAAGGAAGCCACAAAACAATGCTGCACAGCCAGCCTGTTTCCTCTGTGACTCACAACCCAGCAGGGCTTCCTGAGGGCCAAACAGGGTCAGGACCCAAGTCACTGGGCACATAGTTGTGACCCTTCATGGGGAGGCAGGATTTGTGGGAACTGTCCAAATGTGAAAGGAATGACAGCAGAATGTGGACGGGGGGAGCACCTGGTACAAATAGTCCCTTTGCTAGAAATAAGCATGAAAAAAATACATGAAATAACCATTCTGAGATGTTGGACAACAGTCAGCACGGGAGCTGAAAACCTGAGGAACAAGTGGCATAAGCTCCAGGAGGAGCCTGTGGCACTTTCCGGACCGTGGTTTGGGGAAGGAGGACTAACGCGGGCCGAGGCACCCCGGATATTTTGGACAGGACAAAGAATGAAACCAGAGGGAAGTTTTTGGAGTTGATTTCTTCTGAGAGGATTCGTTCTGAGAGGGGGAGCGTGGTAGGGGGAAGAGCCCGGAGTCACCACACAGCCCTGGGTGTCGGGTGAAAGCAGGCCAGAGGTGAGCAGCCCCCAGACTTGCTTATTTCAGTTGCTACAGCTGCTTATATAGCCAAGGCAGTCAATCCGGTCAAGGGGCGGTCTATGCCACAACCAATCACAGCCTGTTGCCAGGCAGGCTCTGTTGTCATGTGGTTTCCGAAGCCATCCAATCACGGCCTGTTGTCAGTGGCCTTCTTGGCATGACCTTCTCACCCCACCACATTGAACTTCTCACCCTGTTACCAGACAAATTGGAGGGCTCTTGTCTTCGCACAGGAAAGAATTCAGGCGTGAGACAGAGAGTGGAAAGTAAAAGTAGCAAAGTTTATTAAGGAAGGGACATCCGCAAGAATGGATGGGCACCTCTCCAGACAGGACCTGAGAGAGAGTGCAGTCGCTGGGACTGGGGGGAGGGAGGGAGGGAGCGAAGTTACATGCTTGAGTGGAGAGAGTACACCTGGCCAGACCAGGCCGGCGGCTTAGCAGAGAGGCAGAGGGCTGAGCCTGCAGTCCCGCAGTCCCCTTGAGGCCAGGGGTTTTTAAGGAGGTGGGTCTTGCTTCCCCACCTCTGCTCCTCTTTGAACAAAGGGCTATTTGGTATGCAACAAAGGACTTTATGGATGCAAATGTTATCAGGCAGGAGGAAGGGAGCAGGGTGTTTGAGATGCAGATACTGGCTGCACCTGGGAGATTGTGGAAGACTGTCAGGCAGAAGGGGTGGGGACCTCCACCTGGCAGGTTTCAGGTAGAAGGGGGCAGGGCAGGGCAGGATGTGAATACCGGGCTGCCCCTGAAACACCATCAGGATGACTTTGAGATGCAGCATATGCTGGACATAGATGTCTTCCCTTTAGGCCTTCTGTTGCACACACATAAGCTCATAACTGACTTTCCTACCTAACAACCCCACCACATTGATGTTCTCACCCCACCACATTGACCTTCTCACCCTACCACAGAAAGTGAGTAGCCCTCCACGGACCCACCCGTCCCTGCCTCTAAATGTCTCATCTTCTTGGAACAAAAGTGGTTGCCTAGGGTTCTTTTAGAGGAGACTTTTGATGCTTTTTTTTTTTTTTAAAGGTGGATTTATTTATTGGAAAGTCAGAGTGACAGAGAATGGGAGAGACAGTGATCTTCCATCTATTGGTTCACTTCCCATATGATTGTCACGGCTAGGGATGGGCTGGGGAAGCCAGGAGGCAGGAACTCGATCCAGGACCCATGTGGGTGCAGGGGCCCAAGGACTTGGGCCATCTCTGCAGCTTTCCCAGTCCATAGGAGAGAGCTGGATCAGAAGTGGAGCAGGCGGGACGTGAATGGGCGCCCACATGGGATGCTGGTGTTGCAGGTGAAGGGTTAACCTGTTATGCCACAAGGTCAACCCGAGACCCTTGATTTCTTTAAGCTTGGAGAGAAACTCAGGAAGTGGCCCTCCTCTGGGTGTTTCTGGGAGGTCTTCAAGCCTCAGTGCTTCCCGGCTTTGAGGCAGGGAAATCACGATGTCACCATTGCACAACCAACATTATCCTTGCCGAGCAGAGCGATTTGTAAGAGATTTGTATTGATTTATTTCAGAGGTAGAGTTAGTTACAGACAGAGAGGGGGAGAGACAGAAGGTTCCCCCAGCTGCTGGTTTCACTCCCCAAATGGCCACGGCGGCTGGAGCTGGGCCGATCTGAAGCCTGGAGTAAGAGCTCCTTCTGGGTCTCCCACGCGGTTGTGGGGTCCAAGGACTAAGCCACTGCTGCACAGTGTCCTCACTGGCAGACGGCTGTGGTCAGTAGCGGAGCTGGCACTCAGATCTTAGCACTGGGATACGGGATATGTGTGTCCCGAGAAACATGTTTACTGCTGAGCCAGATGCTTATCCTGATGTTTTATTTTTAAATGGTTGGCTACACGGGATGTAAGAAAGAAACTGAAAGTGGAATTTCAGACCCGTGTATAAGAGCTACCACTGGAGCAGTTGAACTACAGATGCTGCCTTGCCTTCACGATGAATCAGGTAAGTCCCCCAGGATTTTCCAGAACTGACTCTGTAGTGGGGGTGTGCAGACTCCTCCCAGCCTTGGGGACACTTTGCTCTGGACCTTATTTTTATTTTTTTAAAAATGATTATTTTTAAGAAATGTCTATATTTATTTGAAAGCAGAGTTACACACAGAGAGAAGGGGAGAGACAGAGAGAGAAAGGTCTTCCATCCTCGGGTTCACTCCCCAAACTGTGTAATGGCCAGAGCTGGAGAAGACCAAGCCGGACTCTCACCATGATCCGAGGTCAAGTGCTGTGGGAAAAGGGCTCTCGCAGCCTGTGGAAGGGCAGGTGTCAGCCCAGAGCAGCGGGACGCTGTCCATCCCAGGGCCGGCATCTTGCCGCTTCTCCCAGACAGACCCCAGCTGTTACTTTGGCTTCCCGACTGTGGTCTCAGACATTTCAGGACAAAACGGATTCCCCCTTCTGTACTTCAGGGGGAAGCCACAGCTGCTGCCAACAGGGCCTCTGCCATGGTTGTAGACACTGTGTTTTAGATCACCCATTTTAGTCTCCACAGGAAATAACCATTGTGTTTTGAGCTCAGAATGTTTTATGGGTAATATCTCTAAACTAGTTCTATTATATGAAACTTGTTCACTTTTTTTTTGTGCACTAAGATTGTATGATTGGCTGATGTTTTAAAGTAATTATTTTTGAGAGAGAGAGAGAGAGAGAGAGAGAGAGAGAGCAAGCGCACTCCCATCTTTCCATTTGTTGGGTCATTTCCTGAATGGCCAGGAATGGGCAGGCTGAAGCCAAGGGCCAGGAACTTGAGCCAAGCACCCCATCTGGGTGGCAGGGACCTTATGACTTCAGCCATCACTCTGCCGTCCAGGGTCTGCATTAGCAGGAAGCTGGAGTTAGTAGCCAGAGTCAGGCATTGAACCCAAGTGCTCAGATATGGGATGCAGTCATTCTAACTGGCACCTGAGCTGCTAGGCTGAACTCCATTCCAGCAAATCAATTTTTTTGTGTGTGGAAAAATCTTAGTGATTGAATTCAAAAATCAGAAATTCTTCTGGCTCCTCTTAGCCCCATGCTTGCTTCGGACAGTTACAGGACCACGTCCTGGGGGCACTGGCCTCTCCCTGCCTCTGAGTCCTGCCCTTCCCGGGGTGGGAACAGCTGCCCAGGGGGCCGGTTAGGAGAGACATTCGGCTCCTCAAGCGGGGACAGGAAGGCAGGGCTCCTCCGGCTGTTCCTATGGTGGCTTCAACCACCAGTGAGGCAGTGGTGCAGGCCGGCGGCCATCTTCCCATTTCCGGGAAACACCCAGTTGATAAGGGCTGGCTTCCCTTTAGAAATGATTCCCATTTAAGTTTCTATGAATAGGATCGAAAGGAAACCAAAAGTGAAATTCCTGTCCTTGGAATAGAAGCTGCCCTGTGAGCCGTGGGGTCCCAGGCGCCGCCTTGGCCCGGGAGGTGTCCGGGAGTCTCCCACTGCTGCTTGGCCGACGGTGCCATTCGAAAGCCTGGTTGTTTTTCATCTTGCTGGACTCTGAGGTCTGCAGGGCAGAGCGGGCCTCCTCTCTGAGGGTGGCACAGCGGGGTCCACAGCCCTGCACGTGGGAGGGAGCTGGGGAGGGGTCTCCAGGAGCTGCACCTGCTGGAGCCAGGGGCCCTGCTCTCCAGACGCAGCTGGGGAGGGAGCCCCGGGTCTCTGGAAAGTGAGGGGTCCCCCACATTGTCTGCCTCTGCTGCTGACTGGGGTTCTGTCTCAACCCCAAACAGGCCGTTCTCCCTCCTCCTTCTCCATGGCATTTGTCCTAACTTAAGAAATGCCATGGGGGCCAGGGTCAGGGCATGGAGGGTGGGGCTGCCGCCTGGGAGGCCAGCATCCCATATGGGTGCTGGTTCAGGTCCCGGCTGCTCCACTTCCCATCCAGCTCCCTGATAACAGCCTGGGAACGGCAGTGAATATGGCCAAGTGCTTAGGCCCCTGCACCCGTGTGGGAGACAAGGACGAAACTCCTGGCTCCATCCTAGTGCAGCCCTGGTCTTCTGGGGAATGAGACAGTAGACAGAAGTTTCTCTCTCTCTCTCTCTCTCTAACTGCCTTTCAAATAAATTTTTTTTAAAGATTTATAATATTTATTTGAAAGACAGAGATACAGAGAGAAATAGAGACAGAGAGAGATCTTCCAACCACTGGTTAACTCCCCAGATGGCCGCAACGGCCAGAGCTGTGCTGATCCGAAGCCAGGAGCCAGGAGCTTCTTCTGGGTCTCCCACGTGGGTGCAGGGGCCCAAGGACTTGGGCCATCTTCTACTGCTTTCCCAGGCCATAGCAGAGAGCTGGATCGGAAGAGGAGCAGCCAGACTCGAATCGGTGCCCATATGGGATGCTGGTGCTTCAGGCCAGGGCATTAACCCCCTGTGCCACAGTGCCGACCCCTCAAATAAAATGTTTAGAGAAATGACATGTGTGCGCCTCCCCTGCCATCAGCCACGTGTGCAGATCTGCAGAAGCTCCGGGCAGTGCAGCAGCTGAAAGGGAAGAGCTGGGCTCAGGCGTGGCCTGGAAAAGAGCTGATCCTGGGAGGGCAGCCGCAGGTTCCTGGGGAGCGGCCCCGTGGGCGTCCGTCGCCTGGTTCAGGGAGGAGACGTATTGCTGCCCAAGCAAACCAGGGCTCTGCTAACCAGAGACGTTTCCTTACCCTCGTGGTTCTGAGCTCATATTTTGTGGGCCACTGGCTGCGGTGACAGTGTCCTGACCCTGCTTCACAATGCCCTCCTGGTCCCCTAATAAAGCCCCCTCCCCACCTGGTGTAGCTCCCAACCTCAGCCAAGCTGCTGGTGCACACAGCCTTGGTGTCCCCGCCCTCAGTAACACATGCACAGTGCATCTGTCCACACACACCTGCATCCTCCATGTGTACACAGAACACTCACATACTCCCAGACCAGCCTCCTCCTGTCCACCCTACAAGGTCTTTTTCTCCAGGCTCCAGTCCCCTCTATGGGAGCCTCACAAAGTGACTGCAGGGCAGGGGATTTCAAGGTGGACATATGGGCCGGCGCCGCGGCTCACTAGGCTAATCCTCCGCCTAGCGGCGCCGGCACACCGGGTTCTAGTCCCGGTCGGGGCACCGGATTCTGTCCCGGTTGCCCCTCTTCCAAGCCAGCCCTCTGCTGTGGCCAGGGAGTGCAGTGGAGGATGGCCCAGGTGCTTGGGCCCTGCACCCCATGGGAGACCAGGAAAAGCACCTGGCTCCTGGCTCCTGCCATCGGATCAGCGCGGTGCGCCGGCCGCAGCGCGCCGGCCGCGGCGGCCATTGGAGGGTGAACCAACGGCAAAGGAAGACCTTTCTCTCTGTCTCTCTCTCTCACTGTCCACTCTGCCTGTCAAGAAAAAAAAAAAAAAAGGTGGACATAAGCTCCATCCTCCCTGGTTCTCACCGGGTAATGGACACTGACAGGGGCTCCCAGCCAGGGCCTGGGCTGTGGCCCCTTCTACCCTGTCTTGGTTTTTCTGTTGCAGAGTTCTGAGAAGCCACAACGTGGAGACATCATTGTGATTTTGCACCTTCGCTATATGGATTGGGCCGTCTATGTGGGAGGAGGTAATGTGGTCCATCTGACTTCAGGTAAGGACGGTGGAAAAAGTGATTTTCAAGATGTTTGTTAAGGCCGGCGCCGTGGCTCAACAGGCTAATCCACCACCTTGCGGCGCCGGCACACTGGGTTCTAGTCCCGGCCGGGGCGCCGGGTTCTGTCCCAGTTGCCCCTCTTCCAGGCCAGCTCTCTGCTGTGGCCCGGGAGTGCAGTGGAGGATGGCCCAAGTGCTTGGGCCCTGCACCCCATGGGAGACCTGGAGAAGCACCTGGCTCCTGGCTTCGGATCAGGCGTGGTGTGCCGGGCCCCAGTTGGCCATTGGAAGGGTGAAACCAACAGCAAAAAGAAATGGACCTTTCTCTCTGTCTCTCTCTCTCACTGTCCACTCTGCCTGTCAAAAAAAAAAAAAAAAAAAAAAAGATGTTTGTTAAAGGGCTGGTGTTGTAGCATCCAGGTAAAACTGCCGTCTGCAACGCCAGTATCCCGTAGGGAAGTGGAGTAGCTGGGTCCTGAACTGGTGATCCAATATGGGTTGCCAGTATCACAAGCAGTGTCTTAACCCTTTATACTGCAATGCCAGCCTCATTACGTATAATGGATACAAGTTTTGAACCATGGAAATGTCCCAATAGTAGGGGATCAATGGGGTAAATTAACTACACACTTATAATGCAATGTGATGACATTGTCATCCGATGCAGCCATTGCAAACAGCATTTATGACATGTAAAATACATCTTGGTAAGCAAGGAGAGCAAAATCTGTGAGTCCCTCACTCTCGTGTGAAAGTTCACATCGAGTCTCAGTGATCGGTGACTGTCATCTTTGTTTTTCCCTCCTGCCTCTGCCTCCCTTCCTCCCTGCCCTCGCTTCCTCTCTGGGACTCCCAGGTAAGAGTTCCACTATAGGGCTCTCTAACTTCTTCACGTATCTGTGGGGTGATACCGAGGCCACCAAGGAGCCCTTAAAGGATGCGGCGTTGGGGAGAGTCCGCTGGGTCTGCAACCACCTGGACCACAAGTACAGACCTCGGCCTGTGGATGAGATCATCGCGGCTGCAGAGAAGATGGCTTGCAACAGGAAGAAGTATGGAGCCCCCATTCAGAACTCTGAGAGATTTGTCAATGCGCTGAGATACGGCCAGATCCCCCGCAAGTGGGTAAGGTCCCCTTTGGGGTGTCCTCTCTCTTTTGGGGTTTTCCTCGGCTGGGACTACAGGCGGGAGAAGCTGCTGCCGTACTTTCATAGCATTTCTCATGTTGGTACTACACACTAATAACGCGATATTTATAGCACTGAGAGTATTTGCATGGTGATGCTGCAGTAGCAGGCATTTAAAAGCTCGTTGCTCCTTAAGTCCTGACAATGAACTTGACATTCCCTTTGGCTGCTCGTGGAGATCTGGGCTCACAGAGTTTTAGGTCGCTTGTCCAGTTTGTCAACATAAGATGAGGAGGAAAGCAGGGGTAGCACACCCACAGAGAGCACCTTGCAGTTTGGAGAAGTATCCCAGAGAGTCATCCGCATGGGAGTGGCTGGGGAGCCCAGTGCTGGCGCCCTCCACGTCTGCACAGCCTGTTATGGCTCTCACACTGCCGCCCACCAGTGGGGACACCTTCTTCAAGTCACCTGACCCATTTGAGAGTCAGTTTTCTCATGCAGAAATAAGGGGACACCTGCTTGCTCTATTTTGTTGCAAATGACTGGATTTCAACATTTTTTAATGCTGTGTAGTATTTCATAGTATGCATCTCTCACAATTTCTTTATGCAGTCTTCAGCTGATGGGCATTTAGGTGGATTCCATGTCTTAGCTATTGTGAATTGAGCTTCAATAAACATGGAGGTGCAGACAGCTCTTTTGTTTACTGATTTCACATCTCTTGGGTAAATTCCCAGGAGTGGGATGGCTGGGTCATATGGTAGGTCTGTACTCAGATTTTTGAGGTATTTCCTTACTGACTTCCATAGTGGCTTTACCAGTTTGCATTCCCACCAACAGTGGGTTAGGGTACCCTTTCCCCCACATCCTCTCCAGCATTTGTTGTTGGTAGATTTCTGTATGTGAGTCTCTCTAACTGGGGTGAGGTGAAATCTCATTGTGGTTTTAACTTGCATTTCCCCGACAGCTAGAGATCCTGAACATTTTTTCATGTGTCTCTTGGCCATTTGGATGTCCTCTTTTGAAAAATGTCTGCTTAAGTCCTTGGCCCATCTCTTAACTGGGTTGTTTGTTTTGTTGTTGTGGAGTTTCTTGATCTCTTTGTAGATTCTGGTTCTTAATCCTTTATCAGTTGCGTGGTTTGCAAATAATGACTTCCATTCTGTCAGTTGAGGCTGGGCCCTTTTATAACTTCGGTGGGCTGGGGGTGGGGGCAGCAGGTGGCGATGAGCTAGGTTCTCCATACTGGTTCTTGAACTTTACCACTGGCTTCCAAACCTGGGGAAGAATGCAAGGGGTGGGAACAATACAGGGTATGAGATGGAACTGATCTCCTGAAAGAAGGAGCAGTAACAACCTAGAGTGGATGACGCTTATGTCCTTGTTCCATCAGTCTGTGTCGCTGGCGGCTTTGGCAAGCTGTTGAATGGAATCCGAGTCCTCCTGCTGAGGAGACAGTGAATTTCTGGGTTGTTGACACTGTTCTTGGTGGTTGGATGGGGAGCAAAGGACGTCCCCCCACTCCCCAGGCATCCAAGTGAGCCAGCAGAGCTGAGTGCTGGGTTGGCAGGTGCCAGGCATGCAGGACAGGACTCCAGAAACAGGGGAAACAGAGAGGGCAGAGCAGGCAGGCTCCGTTGCAGGGGCACTGGCTGCAGTCTGGGACGTGGCACTCCCAGTCCTGGGAAGGGAGGGAAATGTGGAGAAAGCAATGGCTGTGGAGGGAGCAGTGTGTGGAGCCGGCAGAGAGAACTGCTTTGTGGCTGAGGGCTTTGGCATGAGTCCTCTAACCTGGCAAGGTGCGATAGCAGCACCAGTGAGTGGGACATCCCCTCAGCCTTGCGGGACCGATGAACGACTGCACACAGGGAGGGAGTCTCTGCCACTGCCCAGTGCTGTCGCCCTTGGTGGTGGCTGAGTGTTTGCCACACCATTTTCATTGGTCCCGCTGTGAGGAGTCACATGGGTTAACAGGCGGTCAGGGTGGTGAAACACTGGAGTTAAAGAAGTTTATTGTCGGGTGGGGGAAACCCAACAGGCTCCCTCCCCGTGAACAGAGAACAGCAGCCTCATGGGGCAGGTCGGGGAGGGGCAGTGGCCCAAGGCCTTCATTGAGCCTCAGAGATGAACAAGTGGGGCAGGGTAAGCACATTTGGGATTAGCTTGCTGAAGTAATTTCTAGGCTATAGAGGACTCATCCCTAGTTGGCTGGTTCTGACCCTGGAGTGATCAGTGGTGGTGGACACGGAGGGTGGTCTGGAATGTGAGAATCCAGGAAAGCAAGTGTTGCCTATGAATTGGTTCCTTTGCTTTAGAAAAGTGTGCTTGTGGGAGAGTGGTTTGTCCTCTCTGGGAGGTTGGTAGCTCTGGGAGGAGTAGTCTGTGCAGGGTCGAAACCTGGGAGTAGCAATACACCATTGCCAGGGCCTGACTCCCAGTCTCAGCAGAGAGTTCAGTAGGCAGTATTCACATTTTGCCCTGGCTGGGCCTGCTTATCTACCATGGAGGATCCCACTCGTGCAGCTGGGCGTGTGGATGAAGCCTGTGGGGCACTTGTGCCTCACGTACGTGTGCACAATGCGATCAGATGCACACATACACACACCAGTGCATACCAGGAGCAAACCCTGTCCCAGTGCCCCTCCTAGGGGATCCTCTGAGAGGGACGGGTGTGGGTGTGTGTGTGTGTGTGTGTCTCCTGCCTGGGTTATAAGTGGGTGTTACAGGGCAGTGAGCACTTGTGTAGCTGAGCTGCAGCCCCCTCCCTCCCCTCCCCCCCATGCCAGGTGCCTGGTGTTTCCTGGAAGCCTGGCTACACTCGCTCTGCTTTTTGTGTTGCAGTCAAATGAAGACCCACAACCTGGAGACCTGATTGAGATTTCTCGCAGTGTCTTTGCGCACTGGGCTGTCTATGTAGGAGATGGTTACGTGGTCCATCTGCTTGGTTCAGGTAAAAACGAATTGTGAAAGCAGCAGTTTTGAGTTGAGAACTAGGAACAAAAGCACCATTCATTATGGACTTCCTGGCTTCTGTTCTTGTCTGTATTACAATACCCCAGTTTTTATTCACTAACGAATGGCATGTGGACCCCACCTGTTGACAATTCTGTGTGTCCATCTTGTAAGAGTCCAGAACCATGCCAGGTGACAGGAAGTAGGAAAATGACAAGGGGCCAGCGCTGTGGCACAGCGGGTTAAAGCCCAGCCTATAGTGCCAGCATCCCATTTGGGCACCTGTTGAAGTCCTGGCTGCTCCACTTCTGATCCAGCTCTCTGCTATGGCCTGGGAAAGCAGCGGAAAATGGCCCAAGTCCTTTGGCCCCTGCACCCATGTGGGAGACCCAGGTGAAGCTCCTGGCTCCTTGCTTTGGATCAGCTCAGCTCTGGCTGTGGTCATTTGGGGAGTGAACCAGCAGATGAAAGACCTCTCTCTCTCTCTGTCTCTGTTTTTCTTTCAAATAAAAAAATGACAACAATATTTTTTTTACCATTGAGTTACAAAGTTTCCACATGACAGTGCACAAATTGCCAGGCTTTTGGAGCTGATTCAGAACTTTGTGCCACGACTTTCAGACCATGAGTAAGCTAAGCAAAAGCTTAGCTTTTCTGACTGAAATTGAAACCATTTTGCTTATCAATATTTCCCAAAATTAATGAGCTATGTGGGCTCTTACCATGTATTCAGAGAAGGATTCTGAATACTGGCTCAAATAGACCAGGCAACATGGTAAGTGTTTTTTTTTTTTTTTTTTTTTTTTTTTGGACAGGTAGAGTTATAGACAGTGAGAGAGACAGAGAGAAAGGTCTTCCTTCCATTGGTTCACTCCCCAAATGGTCGCCACGGCCAGCGCTGTGCTGATCCGAAGCCCGGAGCCAGGTGCTTCCTCCTGGTCTCCCATGCATGCGGGTGCAGGGCCCAAGCACCTGGGCCATCCTCCACTGCACTCCTGGGCCACAGCAGAGAGCTGGACTGGAATAGGGGCAACTGGGACAGAATCTGGCACCCCAACCGGGACTAGAACCTGGGGTGCTGGCGCCACAGGCAGAGGATTAACCAAGTGAGCCACGGTGCCAGCTCCCAACATGGTAAGTTTTTAAGCTTTTGGTTTAGTGAGATATATGCATAGGACATTGAGGGCTCTATCTAAGGGAGAGAGAAAAATCTAGAAAGCTGGGTCCGTACCAAGTTGAGAGCAGACCAGGAGCCACGTGCAGCAAGTGTTTGGTTATGAGCAGCCACAAGAAGCTTATCACGGGTGGTTAAGCAGAGACAGAGAGAGCGGACGAAGGGTAATAAGGGCGGAAAAGGGAAGAAGGGCTGGGCCCACTGGGTTCCAGGCCTTTTATCCACTTCCAAGGTGGAGTGGCTATGCAGCCTTATTGGCAGGTGGGCGTACAGGTGAGGTCAGGTATGGGCATGGGATCACTGAGGGGGTGTGGTGGGGGCATGGTCTTCCAGCTCACAAATCCAATCAATTTGTCCTATCTGCCTGCCTACATCAAAATGAGTTTTGTAAATTGGAGAGACTTTCTTTGTCACCGGGAAGGGATTATACAAAGACAGAGTGAGACTTCTTCCTAGGAGATATTTAAAAAAGTCAAAAATTTATTTAGTCACATGTGCTCAAAGACATATAAGAGGTAAGTATGTCTCTAATATCATTGCCTAGTGGCACGGAATAAGCTTCAACTACATAGATGCGTAACAACAGGAGATTTGTCAAATTAAGGTGTGTGCATGAGGTGGAATACCATGGGAACCATTCATCCTTATAAAATATGCTACATTTGTTGCTATGGGAACATATCGACACACCGTTAAACATTTAGTTCATAAAAGTGTTGTGTACTGGGCCGGCGCCGTGGCTCAATAGGCTAATCCTCCACCTTGCGGCGCCGGCACACCGGGTTCTAGTCCCGGTCGGGGCGCCGGATTCTGTCCCGGTTGCCCCTCTTCCAGGCCAGCTCTCTGCTATGGCCAGGGAGTGCAGTGGAGGATGGCCCAGGTGCTTGGGCCCTGCACCCCATGGGAGACCAGGAAAAGCACCTGGATCCTGGCTCCTGCCATCGGATCAGCGCGGTGCGCCGGCTGCAGCGGCGGACATTGGAGGGTGAACCAACGGCAAAGGAAGACCTTTCTCTCTCTGTCTCTCTCTCACACTGTCCACTCTGCCTATCAAAAATTAAAAAAAAAAAAGTGTTGTGTACCAAATCATTGCACCCGTGTTAAATTTCACATGTAAAAAGAGCAAACGAGAAGAGAAGGAGGGAAAGTCAGACTCAGAGGTCAAGAGAAGAGTTGTGGCTCCTCCTCCTTTCCTTCCTTCCCACCCTTGTACCTCCGGCTCTGCAGCAGCTGAACGTGTGTCTGTCTGTGACCCCAGATCTGCCCTTGCTTGGCTCCTGCAGCAGCAGCCCATGTAGCAGCCCATGTGAAGACAGGAATGGCGAAGTGAAACGTGAGCGCCTGAGGGATGTGGTGGGAGGAGACACGTACCGCGTCAACAATTATCTGGACTACAAGTTCCCTCCACGGCCTGTCCAAGCGATCATTCAGCTGGCAGAGGAGAGAGTAGGACCTTGCTATTACAATGTTCTGTGGGCAAACTGCGAGCACTTTGCCACTGACCTGAGATACGGCAAGCGCTATAGCAAGCAGGTCAGACCCCAGGGTGGGGAGCATCTGGGAGTGTGTTTTCAGAAGGGAGGGGCAACTGTGGGCAAATACGAAGGGGATCGACGCTGAGAGCTTGCTTCAGACTTTGAACACACTTGCTTTGACTCCACAATCAGTGCTGTGTCTGCTGGATCCCACTTTAAAAATTTTCTTAAAAAAAATTTGTTTTATTTGTTTGAAAGGTAGATCTACAGAGAAAGGGAGGGAGGGAGAGATAGAGATAGAGATAGAGACAGACACAGAGATAGAGATGAGAGATCGAGAGAGCAAGAGCGAGAAAGAGAGAGAGAGAGAGAGAGAGCGTGCTTCCATCCATTGGCCCATCCCTAAATGGCTGCAATGGCCAGGGCTGGCCCAGACTGAAGCCAGGAGCCAGGGGCTCCATTCAGGTCTCCCACGTGGGTGCAGGGACTCAAGCACTCAGGCCATCCTCCACCGCTTTCCCAAGCACATGAGCAGGGAGCTGGAGGAGTGAGGAGTCTAAGCGGCACTCTGATACGGGATGCTGGCATTGTAGGTGGCAGCTAACTTGCTGCACCCCAATATTGCCTCCTATTCTCCCCTTTGATGAGCACTTTCTAATGGGGAAACCCTTCCCAAGGCTCCTCATCACGGTTGGGGGTGGGCTTGCTGTCTGGCCCTTCAGGAGTAACTGGCTCAGATTCTGCGAGCAACGCTGACCAGGCTGGGGACCGTTTACAAAACCACTGTTCTGACTTGAGATGTGGTTTTCCCACGCGGAGCTGCTGTGAGTGCCTTTATCCCATCCACCTGGTAGTTTGTTGTGGGGTTAAATGGGTGAGAAGGACTTCTGAAAGCTGGGAACTGTGCTCAAATCAGAGCCTCTGTTCCTGACAGTTGCGTCTTCTCCAATCCCAGTGGAGATGATCAGTGCCAGTATCTCTTATCTCCATTCTGCAGAAGAGGCTTAGAGCACAGAAACCTTTACTGTGGGGTGGACGGGTCCCACCCCCTCCTTCCTGCCCCGATGTGCACTCAGAGACAGCAGCATCTCATCCAGCCCTGGTGCTCTCGCTGCCCGGGTCCCTCCCAGGTACTGAGCTGGCTGTGGTTCGAGAAGACCTGAACTTGAATCACGGATCAGTCTCTAGCCTCTGAGTGTCAGGCAGGGTGCTCCCCGACTCTGGGCCCTTTTCCCTTGGGTGCAGGCTGAGGGGTTCAATAGGGAGCCTCTGAGGGTGTGGGGGTCCTGAGCATCTCTGAGTTGTCTGGACGGACCTCAGCTCAGCCAAGATTCCTTCTTCCCCAGGGGAGCTCCTGGGTCCTCTGCAGAGGGAGAAGTTCCTGGGGGCACAGGCAGTTCCTTCCTGGTGGCAGAGTTGCCGAGATGGACAGAAGAATGGATGTCTTTGTGTGGTTTGAGAGGGAGAGGACCAGTCATGTCTGCCCTTTGGTTCTGAGTGTGCCCTGTTCTACTTTGCAGAGTAACCAAGTTCTCAGGACTGGAGTTCTGGGTGTTCTGGGTGGACTGGCGGCCTCAATCATCTGAGTACACTTACCCAAAGCCACAGCTGCATGAAGAAGCAATGCAAATCCTGAAGTTAGAGGCTGCTGCACAGAATAGCACTTCCTCTGTGCACCTGCTTCTCTCTCACTGGCAATTGCAAGGACTGACTCTAACAAGACTGTGAGCTTCTTGAAGAATTGGGCGGCTGACCCCAGTGAGCCCTTCATGAAATATTCCTCCTGCTCAATTGTAGGCTCATGAATCATCGGAAAAGAGGCGAGTCCTCCCTGAGCACTTCCAACAGCACAACTTTCAAAATATCCCCGAATCCAGGTTTCAGTTTCTTCATTTCTCATACGGGAGCAACAGTAATTTCTTCACCATGTATTGTTGAGGTTTAATGAAATGGCGTATACAAAATGTTTTCACACAACTTCCGGCTTGTAGCAGATGCTTAGTAAATTTGCTCACTGCATTTCACTGCTGTCTTGCTGAGTTTTATTCTTGGGGTGGGTGAGGGCCCACAGTTCCTGACTAATCCCCAGATCTTCCCACGAGTGCACATTCACGACAGAAGAGCGTCATCCACCATCCCTCAGTGCTCCTTTTGGGTCAGCCTTCTTTGTTGTAATAAATGTTTGTCTCTGACAGAGTTTGGGTGTTAAATACCTGTGACTTTTGAGTGAAGTCACAGCTACTTTTTTTTTTTTATAAAGATTTATTTATTTGAAAGAGTTACACAGAAAGAATGAGAGGCAGAGAGAGAGAGAGAGAGAAGAGAGAGAGAAGAGAGAGAGAAGAGAGAGAGAGAAAGGTCTTCTATTTGCTGGTTCATTGTGCAGATGGCCGCAATGGCCAGAATTGTGCTGATCTGAAGCCAGGAGCCAGGAGCCAGGAGCTGGGAGCCTCCTTCCGGTCTCCACACTGGTGCAGGGGCCCAAGGCCTTGCGCTATCTTCTACTGTTTTTCCAGGCCATAGCAGAGAGCTGGATCGGAAATGGAACAGCTGGGTTTTAAACTGGTGCCCATCTGGGATGCTGGCATTACAGGCAGTATCTTTACCCACTATGCCACAGTGCCGGCCCCCATCACAGCCACTTTTTATGCCCAAACTCTGTGGGGTCAGGCTTTGATTTCAGTGAGGTATCCGTCATCACATGTCTCCTGGCTGTCTTCCTGAACGGATCAGGTGTTAGCACTCTATGCTCCTCTTCCTTGTAGCACTCACCACATTTGCAGCTTGATTTTTACGGTGTGTGCTTGTGTGATTCCTATCCACAGATTTTCGTACAATAATTGTCATTGTGCAACCAGGTACCGTGATGCCTTTCCTTCAGCATTGTCGGCCTGGAATTTCTCACAACGTCTTATATAGAAGATATTCCCATGAGAAAGGTCTAGAAAGGCTGAAGGTATGTGCAAATGCACTCAAAAGAAAGATCAGAGAAAAAAAGAGGGGAAACCCAAGTGCCAGGAATGAAAAAGAAAGTTAAAAGTTGAAGTGGTTGGGATGGAGGTGTATGGCTAATAGTTTAGATATTGACCCTAAGGATCTGGAACTAGGATTTCATTGCCCACATAGGGACAGGCACACCAGATGTAGAGCAAGAGACATACGAGTGAGAACTGAGATCTCTGTGTGAAGCTGACTGTACAAGAAATAACCCTTAAGACAAAGAGAAAGATGAAAAATTATGCCTACCTATGTTTCTGGATAAAAAATTTTCAAAGTCTCTTACAGAAATAGCAAATGTAAGCCTTTTATATGCACAAACAGAAAGTCTGCATTTTCCCTACTCACTTGTAGAGTTGCCCTGTTAAACTGGTGAGGCCTCTCAGTCATCCTGTGGAGTGAGTGCCGGGCATACCAGACCCTGACAGAGAAATCATTACCCATGCATATTAACTCACATGGAGAAATTGCAAACCACATGGGCATGCAACTTGTCAGGAATGGCAGACAGTAGACACAATCAGTGGGACAAGATTCAGTTGGGATATACAGAGAAACCACAGGTGGGCTCCTAGGTGGATTAGTTAGTATAGATCCCACCAGGGATCTATGTGATATTCCATCTACTGATTCACCCCCAAATGCCTACGAAGGCCAGGGTGCGGCCAGGCTGAAGTCAGGAGCTAAGCACTCTCTCTGGATCTCCTCCACAGGTTTCAGGGACCCAGGTACTTGAGACATCACCTGCTGCCTCCCAGTGTGCACACCAGGAGAAAGCCTGATCGGAGTGGGGCCAGACCTGGCACCAGGTGCTGATATGGGATGTGGGCATCCCAAGAAGTGTCTTTAAAAAAAAAAAAACCAACTTTATTGCCTGTTGTCTACTGTCCATTATCCCTTCCTTCCTCTCCCTGACACCTATGCATTTTTTTTTAAAAAAAAAGATTTATTCATTCGCTTGAAAGTTAGAGTTACACAGAGTGAGGAGAGGTAGAGAGGAGAGAGAGAGAGAGGTCTTCCATTCGATGGCCCGCCCCACAACTGGCCACAATAGCTAGAACTGCATCGACCTGAAGCCAGGAGCCAGGAGCCTCCCCTGGGTCTCCCACGCGGGTGCAGGGGCCCAAGGACCTGGGCCATCCTCCACTGCCCTCTCAGACAACAACAGAGAGCTGGATAGGAAGTGTAACAGCCGGGTCTCGAACCGGTGCCCACATGAGATGCTGGCGCTTCAGGCCACCGCGACAACTCACTGCGCCACAGCGCCAGCCCCTCAAGAAGTGTCTTAACCACTGTGCCAAACCTCTGCCCCGGATAGTTTTTTATTGGGTTGGGTATATCTTCCATTTTTCCATGAATATTTTTGATCTTTTGAGTCATGGAATTTGCAAGTCTTGGCTTGCTTACTCAAATATTCGGTTTGGTCTGAGTCTGCCCTGTGGATGGTTTTATTCTTGGATTATCAATCAGCCTTCCCTTCTTTGCTTATCCAGTGAATTTTTATTCTGTGGTAAAGACTGTGTGGTATACAGTAGGCTGTCTGGATTGAAGAAGAGTAAATTTGGGGGGCAGGTGTTGTGGTACAGTGGGATAAGCTAACCACTTATGTTCCCAGCATCCCATGTCCGAGTCCTGGTTTGAGTCTTGGCTGCTCTGACTCTAATCCAATTTCCTGATAATGTGCTTGGCAAGACAGTGGAAGATGCCCAAGTTCCTGGCCCCTGCCACCCACATGGGAGACCTGGGTGGAGTTCCTGGCTCTTGACTTTGGCCTGGCCAGATCTGGCTGTTGTGGCCATTTGGGGAGAAAACCAGCAGACAGATCTTTGTCTCTCTGCCTTTCAAATACATTCATTCATACATACATATATTTTTAAACAGATTTACTTATTTGAAAGTCAGAGTTGGAGAGGGAGCTGGAGACACACAGAATCTTCTCTCTACTGGTTCACTCCCCCAGATGGCTGCAATGGCCAGTGCTGGGCCAGGCTGAAGTCAGGAGCCAGGAACTTCATCTGGGCCTTCCACATGGGTGGCAGGGGCCCAAAAACTTGATCCGTCTTCCACTGCTTTTCCCAGGCCTTGAGCAGGGATCTGGATCAGAAGTGGAGCATCCAAGACACAAGCCAGTGCTCACGTGGGATTCTGGCATCACAGATGGTAGCTGTACCAGTTTTGTCACAACGCCAGCCTGCCATATGTACATCTTTGAAAATGTTAAATTACTGGTGGATCTTCTTGGCCCTATGGAAGCTTGATTGTAGGCTTTGGTTGGGCAGGAATATCTCAGTTCTACTGTTGCTCCTTGAGCATAGCTTTTCCTTTCTTTCTTTTTTTTTTTTTTTTTTTAAGATTTTATTTATTTACTTGAAAGAGTTACACAGAGAGAGAGAAGGAGAGAGAGAGAGGGAGAGAGAGAGGTCCTCCATCCGCTGGCTCACTCCCCAGAGCCTCCTCCGGGTCTCCCATGTGGGTGCAGGGACCCAAGGACCCAGACATCCTCCACCGCTTTTCCAGGCCACAGCGGAGAGCTGGACTGGAAGTGGAGCAGCCGGGACCGGAACCTGCGCCCACATGGGATACCAGCACTGCAGGTGGCAGCCCACCCGCTACACCACAGTGTCGGCCCTGAGCCTTGCTTTTCTTACAGAGGGCAGAGTATGGGATTTCTAACTCCACATAATCACTTCAATCAATTTCTCATAATTTGTCTCCATATCTCTCTATATAAACACAATATATACAATGTATTGTCAACATAGGCTTGGTGTCAACACCTTCGGGGCACACACACAGTGCACCTGTCCATGCATAACGGCATCCTGCACGTGTGCACACAGCAACACTCACCCAGATTAACTTCCTCTCTCCCATCCCATAGCTTGTATCAAAAGCTTGGTCCCTGTCTCCAGCACCAAATCAAAATAATGAGAACAAAGTTTGAGGGTAAAGAAAAGAAAAAGTTTAATCTGTCAACAGATATGGGAGGTAGCACACATGAGTCTCAAGGCTTACCTCCCCAGCTGCATGAGGAGGCTTTGCAGTTTTTAAAGAGGCTATGAGAAGGGGGAGGTCAGGATGAACAGAAGACAAGGGCAGCTGTGTGTTGGCCTCTGTCCAGGTGATGAGGGCTGCTTGGAGTCAGAGTGGTTATCTGGTTTGTGTTCAGCTCATGTCCACATTCCAGGTTGGTCAGCAATACCACCTTTTCAGGGAACGTTTCAGATGGGGCTTTTCAGTGGGGCTTCAGTGCTTTTTGCCCTGTCCAGACCTGGATTTCCCTTAAATGAAACCCCTTGAGACAATAGCAGCCATCCAGGTGTCATCAGGTTATGACCTTGTAAAGCCAGAGGCACCACTCCCTTAATTCAATGAGTTCATGTAAGGGAGGGAGGTTCCGAGACTGGGGCCTGATGGTATCCACATTAAATGTTTAGAGGCTCAGTTTCAAAGTCCTAAACAGGCTTCCATGTATGCCTGGAGGGGGGGGCAACTGGAACCAGGGCTAAGAGGGGACCCCAAAAGTCCTTCAAGGTCCTCATCATGAGCAGAGACCCCATCAGTCACCCCGTGAGCCTTCTTCTCATTTCTGTCTCTGGAGCTCTCCCTCCTCTTACTCTTCCCAGCTCAGGGCCTCTGGGGTGGGGCTGGCTGTTCCCACAAGGGTGGCTTCTCTTGGCTGCTCTGTCTGAGCACTGCAGAGAAGGCTCTGCGCAAAGGTGACCATGTGACAGCTGAAGTTCCACCCGGGGCTAATCGCCAAGCTGTGTGCCTGACATGGATCCACACAGGAGGCCAGAGTGGCTGGAGCACAGGGACGAGTGTGGGAGGGAGCCAGGGACATGACGAGGACTCTGTGTTCCGGAAGCAGACAGGAAGCGGGATGGTTCTAAGAATGCGTTTCCAAGTTTCTATGCCCCTGAATGAGATGAGAACTCAAAGTACAGGCGTAAGTCAGGTGCATAAATGAGAGTAGGATTTATTTAAAGTGAGGACAGGAGTACACATTCAGACGTGAGCGTGGGCA